TTTTAGCTCGATAACATCAGCTGCAGTAGAATAACCCAGCCTAGGAAAATAAATAATAAATAAATCAAACAGTCTATGACTCTGTAGGAATTATTATGCAGCGACACTAAAATACAGTCCCCATACTTTTATTGTTCAAAGTTTTACCTTCTTAAGACTCTTTTTCGACATTTTAGTTCATCCAGTTGTAATATCGTCCTGGCTTTTTTAAGTTCTTTTCGTGCGGTCTTTGCTTTGTCGATGATCTGACGAGCACATCGGAGAAACAAAGGCAGGGTAAATACCCCCGGGGAGTACCGGGGAATTAACACATTATAGCAGGGGATTTTTAAAATACAGTTTTAATAGCACAATCAACGGTAAGGCGGGAGAATTAACGTCTAAATCTAAGGAAATTATGTTCTTGTTATGTCTCCAAGAGGCGGGGAAAGCCGGGACTTTGAACATTGCCAACATGTTAAATACCTCGGTATTGCCCGGGGGTCGAGGAGCGGTGGGTTTAACTGACCGTTGAGTAAGTACATGTATATCCATCATAAAAACCATACCTGTGCTTTTTCTTCACATAGCTTATATAGCGAGTCGAGAGAGGCGTCCTTATGAAGTGGATGTGAGTACATTCGATGTTCAAGCATTTCTATTTTCTGAAGATACAGAATATAGTATAAAAAAACATTTTTAAACGACATATCACCGGGAACGAGGTCTACAGCTATCGTTAAACCATGAGGGGCTGGCTGTAATAAGGACGAATAAAGTTATTCACCAGTTAGAGCTATCCAATCCTTAGATTTTGTACGGGATTTTCACCGCTGGATAAGAATACATCTGATATAGAAATAAAGGAAAGTTTTAACTTTAAAAAGTGCTAGGAAGGAGGTTATTCCGGGAGAAAGACCCTTGGAAATAACCTCCTTCCTAGCACTATAACTTTCCGTTATTTCTATATCATGTATCTCATAGTGCCAAATCTGGTGGATAGCTCTTTTCACCCTTCTTTCAATAAGTTGGACATTGAAATAGTTGACGGGAAAATGAATGAATGAATGAATGAATGAATGAACAGTACCACGGTCTGTGAGTTACCTACCCTTATAATTTTTTTCAAGCCATCATCTTTGATTCCCATATCTTCAATAGGATCTAATAACGGTAAGCCATCAGGAAACCGCTTAGAAACCTCCTACAAAAACAAGTCGCCATGTTGTAAATAATCGAGATACAGAAGACCTCAACTGCCATTTAGAGTCGATGCTTCTCGTTATAGATCTCTGAACCTTTTACGTCATGTACCGTATACGCAATGCATTGTAGGATATGTTTGGGACAGAACATGGCGGATTCCTTTTGTTTTCTCTAGAAACTGATCCCACAATGCATTGAAAATCAAGTAGGTGACGTAAAAGGTTCAGAAGTGTTTCCAGTGCGTGAGCACTGGAAACATATAGCGAAACGAAAAAAAACACGAAAAAAAACGAGAAACACTAAAGCTAAACTTGTACAAGCACAGATAGGTGAACAGACAGACAGATGCTTTACACGAGTCTCCACGCAGCCGTGTTTAGTTGTGGTCTCGCGTCACGAAACCTCTCCACACAGGAGAAATTGCGTGACGCGTGACGGAAACTAAACATGGAGGAGACTAGGTTTACACATACCTGTATCGATTTACCAACACTTTGTCTGCTATCAGGGGATCGTAAATCTTTAGGAATATATAATCTCACACTGCTGAGCCGTTTAACAAGATGTAATAAAACAGGCACGACCTGTCAATCAAACACAAGAATAAGTAAATGAACAAATGAACGGAGAGAATGGCCGATGGAGATTTATGAAACGAAGAGGATGAGAGGAAAAGTGGATGAAAGGGAAAAGGAATAATGGGATACCTGCATCTCCCCTTTCTCATCAGGACCGCATGGCTGCGGCATCTCACCATCTGCAGACCGAATCCTTTTACTTGAACATTTTACAAGAACTTCTAACACATATATCGCATCACTTATTGGTCCTCCGCTCTGTAAAAATAAAGCAAATGATATCAGTGTTTTAGAAGCAAGAAATGGGTTTCTGGTGAGTTATGTGAGTAATTTTCAAGGGAACGGTCGTCACCTTTTGGTTTGCTTTTTTCTGGAAATTGAGTACCACACCCCATCCAAAGTCCACGTCCCTATTTTGAATCTATCAAATCAATGCAATGACAATTTGAGTTAACAAGTAATTTACGATTATGAAAAACGGTTGAAGAGAACAGTAACTTCTGCTGCATTAAAAATGGAAAAATAGAGTCAGTTCTTCAAGAAGCCGTGGCATCTTTGCTATTTGACCGACAGTAATAGAAATATACATGATGAAAAACTTGTGTAATTCGATGCAATGTCATTTAATAGAAAAATGTAAATTGTGGTAAATACTTTAGAATGAAAAAATCGAAATCGAAATTATTTTCAATCCCAAGTGATCTTAATTTAAAGTAGCGTGAACTTGTAGTCTCGTTTGTACTTCATAATAGTGTCTTGTTAAAGTGAC